TTTTTTTTTTTTTTTTGAAAAGACTTCACTTTCATTGGGATGTCGATAATTGTTCGATGAAAACATTAAGAAGAAATTAATAGCGAATCGTGGCTTTTACTTCCTTTCGCTTCTAGAAATTGATTTGACGATTCTTGACTGTCAATCGCGTAATAAAATCGATGAAGGTATTAGCTGTTTGCGAGTGAGGAGGAAAGTTAGAATTTCAGTCAGATGGCTGAATAAATTCTATTTCCCTACTACGTTTCTTATCATAATTTATTATAAGAACATCCGACTGGACGGATATCCTCTTTCGCTTACTGTTAAACAATTCGCACGTGGTACGCGGTAAGCTTCTCGATTTCAGCGGCTTAATCAGTAGTACACGGCACGTGATGTCTTATTTTAGCCGTGTCTCGTACGTTTTTTTTTCTTTCTTTCTTTCTTTTTTTTTCTTTTTTCATTTACGATTCAATAATACCGAGGAATACATGCGAGATTTATCCGGAATTGTATGACGCAACGAGATTATATATATTATGTAATTCGCGAATCCGTGACCCAAGAATATTGCAACCGAGAATATTTTTATCAACAAAGGGGTCATCGACAGAAAGAAACGAGATAAGTGTACACGTGAACTTTGCTATTACTCGATTGCTCACGAAGAAAAATTTCTCGCCTCTTTTTCTTACATAGAATTATTGACAATTAAGAATGATGCAAAAATGCAAAAGAATAAAATTATAGAAAATCAACAATTTTCAGATGTAATTGTCCAAACTTAAACTTCTCCGTTCACATTTCTATTTTTACGTTTTCTTATATCTTATATAAGATATTATATATATCTTTAAACTATAAATTTCTAAAAATTATCTAATTGCAGATTCGTGGTATAATAAAGGGTATGATATGATAATAGTGACAACACATGTGAGAAACCGTATAATTCGTTGTTTTTCATCGACTCGATTCACGACCAGTTCACCTATATATTAGATCGTCTAATCATCCGTTAATTGCCGGTCGAACGAGGAAAAGAACGACGATTACCGGGGACCTACTTCGATTACGTTTTACTTGCTGCTCGATCGACGCAAGTGAAAGCAATAAGAATCGAAGGTCTCGATTTGCAACTTGGAGAGGCGTAGCTAGTTTCAGAACCAGATCGTGCGTTTTCCTTGCATTTTAGCTTATTTTCGAAATTTTAATTCGAAAAGGAAAAAAAAAATTGATTTTTCTATAAAATGTAGTAGAGTATCTCTTTACTGCTCTCCGTATCTTCAAGAAGAACAACTTATCTAATATCTTTCGCAAATAAATATTAAGTACGACGAATAAATACACTTCTACTTATCTAATTTCTAGAAAAAAGAATAAATTTCTGGAAAATTATCAGATAAATGAATTCTTTATGTAGTTGAATCAATCTTGCGATAAATAAGTTAAAGGAAAATGCATTTGAATCCTCAAACTGTGTAAAATATGAATAAAATATTGAAAATATCCGAATAAAATATTCGAAAGAAATTTCACATTCAGACGTTCCAGACGTGGGCCGGGATATTCGAAAAATGCCGAATTTATAATTTTTCTTACATCACGAGACACCACCTCTTCCGCCTCTTCACCTAATTGGGAGGCAACGAGGTCGCGCGAGATCATTAATTAATCCCACGTGGGTGTGATGCGTGATCTTTCGAACTTAAAATCTTGTTCTTTTTACATCGTTTATCATCCACCTTAATGGTGTTCTAACGATACGAAACATTAAAAAAAAAAAAAAAAGAAAAAGAAATCAAGAAGCTTAGATACGTGGGACGCGTCACTTAAGCTCGCGTATCTTACGCGGCTTTTTTCCCCGATAAGTCTCCGAGCTGAGAAATTTCATTACCGAAAACGTGATACTTTTTACAAATATAAACTATAAATATAAATACAAAATTTCTTTTGCAAATATCATCGTTAGAAATTACACTCGAAATGCCTATAGAAATTTCGTTCCAAAATCTAATAAATACGAAGAATAATTTAATTGAAAAAGATTAATCGCGTCAAACAAATAAAGTTTAGACGCGTTTCACCGGTAAATTAATTAGGATTTTCAAGAAATTTTCTTAAGAGAAAGAGCAAGATCAAGTCCACGAGGAATGGAAAAGCAAAGAGACGCGTTTAATCTCGCGCGTGTTCACGATCACAAGGTTCTAAGCCGCGGATGAAAAGGGCTTTTTAACTCCCTATTCAACCGATGCAACCATGGTACGCAAGCAAAAAAAAAAAAAGAAAAGAAAAAAGAAAGCTGGCAGCAAATTGAAGGGAGCACCGGCGCAAATAGATACGTGTTCATCATCGCCGTCTAACCTATGGAGCGATGCCATAGGATGTTTTATTAGTATTTCCAAGAATCTCTATTTGCAACTTCGGCCCGGACGCCTCGAGACACGAGGGACCGGGTTGC